GCCCAACAAACCATTGCATAAGAAAGCTGAACTATTTGCAACCAAATTCAGCTAGAAGTGCCAAGTGGATAATCTATCTAGTTCTCCACCTGAGGTTCCCAGGATCACAGATGCCAATCTTCATCCAATTTAATCATCCTACATTATATTAAGAAATGACTGAGGGCACTGGATATTGGAAAGACAATGGACACAGATAACTGACGACTTGTACTCCATAATTAGCTATGCCCCTCGCCATGCTGCACCTGGACAGCTGCAACATCTATCTGGTCATGTAGAAAATTACCCAGCTATGTCCTGTTCACAACAAAAGGACAAATCCAACCTGACCAATTACCACCCCATCAGTGTATTCTCTATCAACAAGGTGATGAAAGCTATCATTGACAGTGCTATCGAACAGCACTTATCAGCAATAATCTGCTCAGTGGCACTCAGTTTGGATTCTTCTAAGGTTACTCAGTGCCTGACCTCACTACTGTTTTAGTCTAAACATGGACAAAACAGCTCAACTTCAGTAGTGAGGTGAGGTGAGAGTGAGTGCCCTTGACATCAAGGCAGCATTTGATCTAGTGTGGTACAAACAGCCCAAGCAAAACTGGAATCCACAGGAATTCGGTAGAAAGGTATAAAGGAAGGTCAGTGTGATTGTTGCAGGTTAATCATTTTAGTGAAAAGACATCACTGAAGGAGGTCCTCAGAATATTGTCCTATGCCCAAATGTCTTCAGCTATGACTTCAACAATGACTTTCATGAGGTCAAAAGGATGTTCACTGCATAATGTTTAGCTCTACTCTCAAGTCCTCAGACACTGAAGCAGTCCCTGTCCATATGCAGCAAGACATGGACAAGATTCAAGTTGAGCAAGTAACATTTACGTGACAAATATGCCGTGCAATGACCATCTCCAACAAGAGAGAATTTAAGTATTTCCCACTGACATGAAATGGAATTACCATTGCTGAATCCTGGAATATTAATATCCTGGTGGTTACTCTGACCTGTAATTAAACTAGATCAGATAAATACTGTGGCTGGAAGAGCTGCTCAGAGAGGAATTCTGAAGAAGGCAATTCGCCTCACAATTCTTCGATGCCTATCCAATACCTACAAGGCACAAGTCAGGAATACAATGGAATATCTTCCACTTGCATGGATGTGTGCAGCTCAACACCATCCAGGGCTTAGCAGCTGGCTTGACAGACACCTCATCCACCACTGATGCACAATGGCAGCAGTGTGTACCACACACAAGACGCACCACAGCAACTCACCAAGACTCCTTTGACAGTACCTATTTAAACCTGTGACCTCTATCACCTAGAAAGACCAAGGCAGATCTATGGGAACTCCACCACCTGCAAGTTCCCCTCCAAATAACACAAAATCTTTACTTGAAGCAATATCACTATTCCTTCACTGTCATTGGGCCAAAATTCTGGAAATTCCCTCCTAACAGAATGGTGGGCTGCACAGCAGCATGATGACACCATTCTTTCAAGTAATTAGGGATGGGAAATAAATGCCGCCTTAGTCAGTGACATCCACAATCAATGAGCATGAAAAATAAATTGAAGAATCTTCTGTTTTCGTAATGATGTTCTGACAAAATTTATGAAATTTGGTTTAAACCAATTAAATTAGGAAACGTAAGTAGAAACAAGCTAAAGCTGTGGTGAGACACACAAAACTATTCTTCCTCCTGGTACAGAAAACAGATGAATTACTTTCTGTAGTAACAGGTAACATCAATCTAAAGTACACCTTTTGTCATGTAGAAACGGCCTGAAATAATTTCTGTGTAGAGGTGCTGCTGAGAATTCAGGGGAGGCACAGTGGCTAACACTGCTGCCTCACAGCGCCAGGGACCGGGTTCGATTCCACTCTTGGGTGATTGTCTATGTGGAGTTTGCACATTCTCCCAGTGTGTGCATGGATTTCCTCCCACAGTCTAAATATGTGCAGATTAGGTGGCTTGGCTATGCTAAATTTAGCATAGTTATGCTAAATTGCCCATAGTGTCCAGGGATGTGGCGGCTAGGTGGATTAGTCATGGGAAATTCAGGGTTACAGGGATAGGGTAGAGGGTGAGCTGGGTGGGATGCTCTTCAGAGGGTGAGCTGGGTGGGATGCTCTTCAGAGGGTCTGTGTGTGGAATTGATGGACCAAATGGCCTGCTTCCTCACTGTAGGGATCCTATGAGATAAACCACTTTGCCTTTATAAACGAGAAAATAAGACAATTTTGAAAGCAGTTAAAGTGCAAATGTCAATTCATTTCATGTCCAAGAAATCAAAAATCCCTCCACTGCACTTTGAAACCTTAGGTTTCATACTCAGCCAAAGATATGCCATCTTTTCTCCTTTTTGAAATTAAATATATGTATCATTACTGGTAAAAATAGCATTTGCCATGTAGGGAAGTCTAACACTAAAGAACAAACCTGTCTTTGATTTAAATTATGAGCCCCCCCACTTGACTGAAGGTGAAGTAAAAGGGAGAAGAAAAGGCAAAATTTCAGAAGTGACCCTCAACTTACTCTATGGAAAGATAACTGTGTTCTACATTAAAACCTGATGCCTCAACTATGAGCTTCTTGATACTTCAATTTAACCATAATGTGTGTTGATATACTTCATCATTAGGGTACCAGAAAGTTGCATAATGGTAATAGTAACATTATACACTTGTGTCCTTCGGTGTCTGGCTGGCTCAAGCACACAAAAAAGCTTCAATCCTGGTAGTCTTTCTTAATCAATCTCTGCTAAGGTGGCATCAAGACCTTTTGCTATTAATTACAGTATTTCTACATTCGGAAGTGGAAAACAGACTAACTTCTTGCTTCTACATGACTCCTACTGAGAACAGATATGAAATGAAGACTGTATTTAGCTGAGCTATGATACCTCTTGAACAGACTGATGACAATCACTCCCTAGACTAAAAACAAGGAACAGCTAAGTGACTCATATTAGTGGGAACTAATATCGATGAAGCCAGAGAATGCTCAATGCCTTCAAAGAGAGGAGAGGGGGAAGACAAAAAGGTGAAAAGTTAATTAAAAAATGCTGTATTACTTCATGTAATGAAACAGCTGCACACAGGGCCATTGTTATAGAAAATTTCTGCCAACATCAAATGTTCTTCTCTGGAGAGCCTCTTGACAGCTGATTGATTTTATTATTTAAGTACAGAATTCATATTATAGAAGAGGAAGTGCTGGAGATCTTAAAATGTATAAAGGTAGATAAATTCCTGGGACCTGATCACGTGTTTCCTAGAACTTTGTGGGAAGCTAGGGAACAGTTGCAGACATTGTCTATATGGACTTCAGCAAAATATTTGACTGGTTAGTAAGGCATCCAGGGGGAGCTATTTAATCGGATACAAAATTGGTTTGAAGGTAGAAAGCAGAGGCTAGTGGCAGAGGGTTGTTTCTCGGACTGGAGGCCTGTGACCAGTGGTATACCACAAGGATCAGTGCTGGGTCCACTGCTTTTTGTCATTTATAAAAATGATCTGGATATCAATATAGGGGTTATGGTTAGATGACACCAAAATAGGTGGTGTCGTGGACGGAGAAGATTATCTCAAAGTACAACAAGACCTTGATCAAATGGGCCAAGATACTGAGCAGTGGCAGTTGGAGTTTAACTTAGATAAATGAGAGGTGTTGTATTTTGGTAAGGGAAACCAGGGCAGGACTTATACAGTTAATGGGGAGTGTTGCTGAACAAAGTGACCTTCGGGTGCAGGTACATAGTTCCTTTAAAGTGGGTAGACAGGGTGGTGAAGAGTACATTTGGCACACTTGACTTCATTGGTCAGAACAGAGTATAGGAGTTGGGATGTCATGTTGAGGCTGTACAGGACATTGGTGAGGCCACTTTTAGAATACTGTGTACAATTCTGGTCGCCCTTCTATAGGAAGGATGTTGTTAAACTCGAGAAGGTGCAGAAAAGATTTACAAGGATGTTGCTGGGACTGGTGGATTTCAGCTATAGGGAGAGGTTGAATAGGCTGGGGCTTTTTTCCTTGTGATATCAGAGACTGAGGGGTGACCTTATAGAGGTTTATAAAATCAGGAGAGGCATGGGTGAATAGCCAGAGTCTTTTTCCTGGGGTGGGGGAGTGCGAAACGAGACAACATAGGTTTAAGGTGAGAGGGAAAAGATTTAAAAAGGACCAGAAGGGCAGAGGGTGGTGCGTGTATGGAACAAGCTGTGAGGGGAAATGGTGGAGACAGGTATGGTTACAACACTTTTTAAATCTTAATAGGCATTTGGATGTGTATATGAACAGGAAGAGTTTAGAGGGATATAAGCCAAATGCTGGCAAATGGGACTAGGTCAGATTGGGATGTCTGGTCAAGTTGGACCAAAGGGTCTGCTCCCATGCTGTACAACTCTATGACTCATTATAAGTAAATTTTAATTGTCGACAGTTTGAACAGTTGAGCTACTAGAATGCCATAAAACTCCTGTACACCAATATTTCTATGCTACTGCATGGGCAGATCAAATCCATATTGTTTTGTGCCATGGTATTAAGTCAAGAAGTCCAAATTTACAGAAATTAATTATATACTATACTGGGGAAAGCGAGAAAATTCACTTTTGCTTCCCTATCTTGGTATACAACTCACCAGATTTATACTTATCTTCAAATTTCTGTTTTGCAATCTGATTTTGCCAAAATAGAAGATGCAGTTCACAATATGAATCAGGAAAATGTCACAGCAAGGCCTAGATGTGATTTGAGTCAAGGTAAGTAGAGGAATAATAAATATCAAATTCCATAAAAATTGTCTGCTTTTGTATAAGAAAAATGGGCATTGACAAGAAGTGGTATTAGAGTACATACAGGATATTTCTAAATTGCAGTGCACTTGTATAATTTGTCATATGGGTTTGCCTCATCTATGATGTTGCAACTTCTAGGAGGCTAAAGATCTATGGCAAAATAATTCTACTGGACAAGTTTTCAAAAACCTACCTGTTTACTGGAAGTCCCCTCTATTTCCCACTCTTTTTCCTCAGCAAACCGAAACTGTGCAAACGAGTCACCTGGTTTGAAACACAAAATTAAATTTATTTGCACCAAAGTCTGACAAACACAGCTACGTTTCTATTTGTAAAAATATTAATATACCAAAGGTAAAATAGCTATTTCACCATTTGACATTTTCAACATTTAAAAAAGATCTGGAAATTATCACATTGTTGGTTATGGGAGCTTGTTAGGCAGTTATGTTTCCTACATACAATGACTACATTTCAGAAATATCTTATTGGATACAAGTGCTTTGAGATACCCTGAGGTTGTGTAAGACACAATGTAAATACAAGTCTTTAATTTTAAACACTGCATGCAAACAGAAGTTATCTGTCCAATTATTTTTGGTTTTCAACATAAGAGTAACAACATTACTGATCTCACATAACACTACAGAAATGATTAAATAAAAGTTAAGTTGCCATAAGTCCCAGAGGACCATAGGGCAGTTCTCTTATTAGAGAGTGATGGTTTAACCCAACGGTCACCACGCCACAGGTAAAGGGAGAGTTGTGAAGGAAAATCCTTCATGTTCACCTCAGCCAGTGTGGGAACTAAATGCACACCGTTGTCGTAAATCTGCATTACAAACTAGCTATCCAGGTAAAAGAGTTAACTGACTACAATAATATATAATCAATACAAATTCTATAACTCTGCAATGTTGCTTTCCTAAAAGTTTACAGTTAAAGAAAACGTCTTTTATTTGGTTCAGAATGCCAATGCTCTAAAGATAAGGTTCAAAATAGCATATGCAGAATAACAAAATGCTTGCATATCGTACAGCACTTTCCACATCTTTAAGATGTCCTAAAGTGCTTCTCAGCGGATGAAATTTAATCATTGTTGTAGGTTTATTGAGAAATCACAGAGCCAATTTATCCATATCTCGGTCCAATAAATAGCAAGGAGATAAATTATTAGAAAAGCCGATAAAGTGCAGTTGGAAGAAGGATAGATGTTAGCCAGAATCATGGGAAAATTTCCACTTTGATTAGCATGATAGGACTTTTCACATCCACTTAAGAGGGCACACAAGATCCTGGTTTATCATTCCTCTCCAAAAGACATCAAACTGCTGACACTACAGAACTCTCACAATACTGAATTGAAATATCAGCCTAGATTTACGCGTTCTAGTCTGTTGTTTGAATTTGGCTAGAACTCATGATCTGAATTACTGACAGTAAGGTTGAGTTCACTCTCAACCATTATATGTGTCCTCAGCTTAAAAAATTCAGATCATATTAATTATTTCTTTCATTTGTCTGCATGTTCTTCCAAAATATGAATAGTACGAATTCCAAATTATCATGTAGACTGACATGTCATTAAACTCATTAGTTAAGTGGCAGGGTGTCGGTTTAAATCTGCATTTGCCAAGAGAGTTTATTAGAATTTTTTTGTGTTGTGCCTTTTATTATTTTCATATGTTAGATGGTAATATTTAAAAATGTATCAAACTTTGAGATATTAACAATGTAAACAGAATCAACATGACTTTATGAAATAGCAAAAAGCATTAACACTACTTAACAGCCATAAAATTCACAGAAACTACAAAGAAGAAAGCTCCTGCATCATGTACATTTGCTAACTGAATGTATATTTTACAATTATTAATAATTATTTTTCCCATCTGCACCATTGTAATTCCTTTGGGGTTGGGTCAAGAAGATGGGTAAACAGCAAGTAGTCTTATATACAATTTAAATGATTTCTGTTCTCCCAAGTTTTTGCTATTGAGTACAAAAGCCTGGAATAGCTTAACAGCAGAACATTCAACCAGACATCCTGTTTTCACTGCAGAGTTTTCTTATGACGTTGTTTTATCCGATTCTCAGAGTCTGGTGTTTGTACACCAGCTTTTAGCATTTACAATGCTAAGTACACTTCTTATCTCAGCAGCAGCTTTGCAGGTTGACAATAAGCTGGTTCCACCAGTATAATGCCAGGGCGAGGAAGGCAGATTTAGCAGTTGAAGTACCAGAAGCTGGCTCACAAATACAACTATCCAAGAATCTGAACAACACCAATATAAAATGTATAAATTGATTTTTAACAGCAGACAGTGTGCAAATACGTAAGCCAGTATTTCAAGTCTATTTAACACAAACAGAAGTTGCTGGAAAAGCTCAGCAGGTCTGGCAGCATCTGTGAAGAAAAAAATCAGTGTTAATGTTTCGGTCCGGTGACCCTTCCTCAGAACCTGTTCTCAGATGCTGCCAGACCTGCTGAGCTTTTCCAGCAACTTCTATTTTTGTTCCTGATTCACAGCATCCACAGTTCTTTCGGTTTTTTTCGAGTCTGTTCTCTTTCACAAGGGTCTATTATGCTGACAGCTCAGGTCATGGAATCACAAATGATCTGGCACTTAAATATCTAAGTCAGCTAGATCATATTTCAACTTCCTTCAGTGTTTAGTACACCCAATTCATACAGGCAGGCACACACTCTGGTTTATGAAGCAGTTCAAATCTTTTGAGTTCAGACAAATAATGAACACGGTCATGTTAGCCCACAGTACATTTTCTTTACATTCATTCATGCAAAGGTTGTTGTTGGCAAGGCCAGCATTTGATGCTCATCCCTAATTCAACTAACCACACAGCTCTAGGTCTGAAGTCACATGAGGGTGAGACCAGGCAAGGGCAGAAGATGTCCATCCCTAAACGTCTTTGACAAATTAGAGGCGTTTAATAAACGTAAATTGATGACAGTCTCATGTTTCACTATGAATAGCTTTCAATTTCAGATATAATAATTTAATTTAAATTCCACCAGCTGTGCTGAATTAGAACCCACACTCTAACAGCATTAGCCAGGGCCTCTGGATTATGAATCCAGTAAAATTACCATTTCATTACAGTAATATTCACTATCCAGGCCCAGACATGAAATTTGCTACTTCAGTGAGACTGTGTTGATACTAGTCATGCCCAATCAGCACATCTCATTGCATTACTTGTTAAGGAGAATATCACAACTGTACTGCGAGAGGACACCTCAGATGGTTCATATAGCGAGGCAATAAGGGTAGAGCTCAGGAACAGGCAGGGTGCAATCACAATGTTTGGGGTTTACAATAGGCCTCCCAACAGCCACTGGGAGATAGAAGAACAGATATGTTAGGCAGATTTTGGCAATATGTAATATTAACAGGGTTGTTGTAGTGGTGATTTTAACTTCCTATATATTGACTGGGACTCGCTTAGTGCTTGGTGCATGGATGGGGCAGGCTTTATAAGGAGCATCCAGGAGGGCTTCTTGAAACAGTATGTAGATAGTCCAACTAGAAAAGGGGCCATACTGGACACAGTATTGGGGAATGAGCCTGGCCAGGTGGTCAACGTCTCAGTAGGGGAGCAGCTCGGGAACAGTGATCACAATTCAGTAAGTTTAAGGTACTGTCAGGTGAAGGTGCTAAATTGGCGGAAGGCTAATAACAACAATATTAGTCAGGAACCAATGAATATAGATTAGAGGCAGATGTTTGAGGGCAAATCAACATCTGTATGTGGGAGGCTTTCAAGTCTAAGTTGCTGGGAACTCAGGACCAGCACATTCCTGTGAGGATGAAGGATAAGTATTAAGTTTAGGGAACCATGGATAACGAGAGATATTGTGATCCTAATCAAAAATAAAAAGGTAGCATTTATCAAGGATAGGAGGCTGAGAACACACAAAGGGTGGAATATAAGGAAAGTTGAAAGAAACTTAAGCAAGGAGTCAGGAGTGCCAAAAGGAGACATGAAAAGTCATTGGCCAACAGGATTAAGGAAAATCCCAAGGTTTTTTTATACATATATAAAAGAGCAAGAGGTTAGCCAGGGAGAGGGTTGGCCCACTCAAGGACAGGGAAGGGAATTTATGAGTGGAGCCAGAGGAAATGGGCGAGGTATTAAATGAGTACTTTGCATCAGTATTCACCATAGAGAAGGACTTGGTGGATGATGAGTCTGGGGGAGGGTGTGTACAGTTTGGGTCATGTTGAAATCAAAAGGGAAGAGGTACTGGGGGTCTTGAAAAACATTAAGGTAAACAAGTCCCTTGGGCCTGAAGGGATATACCCCAGAATACTGAGAGAGGCAAGGGAGGAAAGTGCTGGGGCCTTGAGGGAAATCTTTGTATCCTCACTGGCTACAGGAGAAGTCCCAGAGGATTGGAGAATAGCCAATGTTGTTCCTTTGTTTAAGAAGGGTGGCAAGGATAATCCAGCTAATTATAGGCCAGTGAACGTTGCGTCAGTGGTAGGGAAATTACTGAAGAGGATTCTTCGAGACAGGATTTACTCCCACTTGGAAATAAAAGGGCATATTAATGACATGCAACATGGTTTTGTGAAGGGGATGTCGTCTCACTAACTTGAGTTTTTTGAAGAAGTGACGAAGATGATCGATGTGGGTAGGGCAGTGGATGTTGTCTGCATGGACTTCAGCAAGGCCTTTGACAAGGTCCCTCATGGCAGGCTGATACAGAAGGTAAAGTTGCACGGGGTCAGAGGTGAGCTTGCAAGATGGATAAAATCTGGCTCGGTCATAGAACACAGGGGATAGCAGTGGAAGGGTGTGTTTCTGAATGGAGGGCTGTGACTAGTGGTGTTCCTCAGGGATCAGTGTTGGGACCTTTGCTATTTGTAATATATATAAATGATCTGGAGGAAAATGTAACTGGTCTGATTAGTAAGTTTGTCGATGACACAAAGGTTGGTGGAATTGCGGATAGCGATCAGGATCATCCAAGGATACAGCTGGATATTGATCGGTTGGTGACTTGGGCAGAAAGATGGCAGATGGAGTTTAATCTGGAAAAATGTGAGGTAATGCATTTTGGAAAGTCTAATCCAGATGGAAAATATACAGTAAATGGCAGAACCCTCAAGAGTACTGTTAGGCAGAGGGATCTGGACTTTCACAGGTCACTGAAAGTGGCAACGCAGGTGAAGAAAGTCATCAACAAGGCATATGGCATGCTTGCCTTCATCGGCCATGGCATTTAGTTTAAAAATTGGCAGGTAATGTTGCAGCTTTATAGAATCTTAGGCCGCATTTGGAATATTGTGTTCAATTCTGGTCGCCACACTACCAGAAGGCTTTGGACAGAGTGCAGTAAAGATTTACCAGGATGTTGCCTGGTATGGAGGGCATTAGCTGTGAGGAGATGTTGGAGAAACTTGGGTTGTTCTCACTGGAACGACGGAGGTTGAGGGTCGACCTGATAGAGGTCTACAAGATTATGAAGGGCACAGACAGAGTGGACAGTCAGAAGCTTTTTCCCAGGATGGAAGAGTCAGTTACTAGAGGCCATAGGTTTAAGGTGCAAGGGGCAAGGTTTAAAGGTGATGTATAAGGCAAGATTTTTTTTTAAACACGGAGGGTGGTGGGTGACTGGAACTCACTGCTGGGGGAGGCAACGGAAGTTGGTGCGATAGTGACTTTTAAAGGGTGTCTTGACAAATACATGAATAGGATGGGAATAGAGGAATACGGTTCCTCGAAGGGTAGGGGGTTTTAGTTGTGACAGGCAGCATGTCAGTGTAGGTTGGAAGTCTGAAGGGCCTGTTCCTGTGCTGTAATTTTCTTTGTTGTTTGTTCTTTGTTCATTGTATGAAGCCTCTAGTTAAAAATGGAATCATAATGGAAAATGGTTCAATGTAAGTAATAAAATCTGGAATCGGGGCTGGTCTCAGGAATGGTGACCATTAAATGACTGCAATTGTCATTAACAACCCAGCTGATTCACCAATGCCATTTAAGGAAGGAAATCTCTTGTCCATAACCTGTCTGACCTACATGTAATTGATGCTTAACTATCACCTAATTTGACCAAGAAGTTCAGTTCAAGGGCGATAAAGGATGGGCAACAAATGCTGGCTTTGCCAGCAATGCCCTTATCCGAAGGGAGAATGAAGGAATGTTCCCTCTCACTAACCACTTAAGGCTAAAGAGTTCTGCTTTCTTGGCCTCTACTTATTTCAATTTTCTGACGTGAGCAATCAGCCTGGGGGAGTTTATGCCGCACTGCTCCATTGCTTATCTGTTTTCTTTATGTCTTTGTGACCAAAACTAAGAAAGTAAGTCAGACTGTTCACAGTTTCAGTACAGATCTTTGAACTTACTTTCAATTGATTTAACTGTTCTATTTACTTTGATTATTTCTGTCCTGATGAATTGATGCGTCAAGCACCAAATCAATTATCATACGTAAGATAGCTTTCCGTTTCACTTTTACCTACTTATACATAATTCACCCTGCAGTTGGTGGTTCTGTTTCTCCTCAAAGCAAACTTAGAGCAAAATACAAACACATTAAATTTTATA